TCAACTGAAGAAAGGCAGATCCCAAAGGGTTTTGGCAAGGCTTGGGAGAGGTGCTGCGTGCTGCATGGTGGGACTGGAAAGAGTCCAGCCAACAAGCTCTGTTAATTAATGCCATTTACAAAGCTGCATAGGTCACTTTTAGGAGCCCTGAGCTGTGGCAGCAGCATGAGGCGATGACTGTTGCCACGGGGCAATTAAAATGAGGGATCTCTTTGAAGCTTCTGACAATGACAAGCCATTAATAGAGCAACCAGCACATGAACAAGCAAGTGTGGGGCTGGAAGGGATGTCAAGAATTAGAGGAGAAAAAACATTTGCAATAGAGAGAGAGGGTCAGCACAGCTAATGCAGATGGCAGATACCCAAGTCTTGCTGCCTCTGATTTGAAGTGCAGAGTTTCAAGTGCAGCTCAGTTCATCCCAAGGCACTTAAGAGTGTAGGTAACCCTACAGTAGGGCACAGAAACCCCTGACAGCTTGGGTTTCATGCAGAGAAGTGCTGTGCTCCCATCAGTAATAACAGCAGTGATAATTTTCATTACTGCAGCGTGCAGTGGGCATTGTCTGTTCACGCAGACTTTGATAAAAGGAAGATGTTCTCAAATCAAGAGAAAACAGCAGGCTTCCAAGAGGATTTAGGGAGCCAGAGAGCTCGTCCTCCTCTTAATCCCCAAGGGACTGATAGATCCATGCATCCCTTGCGTCATCTCCCCATAAACCCACCTCATGTAACACCTTGCACCTACCTAAAGCGCTAGTGAGATCCTCTGGCATCTGTGCATCATGGTGGCGTGGGGAGGAATGAATATTTCATGCAGGCATTGCATTTTCTAGAGTAAGGAGTAAGGTTCAGGAGATTTTACCAGGAATAGAGCCGGCACCTAAGCTCATATGTTTTTCATCAAAACCAGAGCTTTTATAGGGTTTGAATTCAGAAGCTGCTTTTCTTCTCAGCCACAAGCCAGAGCAGTTTAACTGAGAAATCCTGCCTGGGAGGTGCAGCTTGGCTCCAGGGTGCCTCCACCCTTCCCTACAGTACCTTTGATTTCCTAAATCAAACTACACTTCCCAGAAGGCCCCTTCCCCAGCAGCGCCTCTAGGCAGGCCCATGGCTAGGGCTAGTTAGAGTTTAGTTTTTCAGGTATTTGACTTTTTCTAGCAAGACAAGGGAAAAGACACATTCTCTAAAAATTTCATTTAATCAAAAGAAAATCGATTCTTCTGGGAAAAGAAAAAAACAAAAAAACTCAGTTGAGATGGAATATTTTCAACCAGCCTAATGATAACTATCCCACAGCTCCCTAAATCTGGCTCCCTGCCTTTCACATAAGCAATGACTGGGTAGGAACTCCTGCTGTCAGCATTTTACTTCATTTGTGACCCACCACCTCTTTTCAAATAAATTCCCATTGAATTATCTGAAGTGAACAGAGAGCAAGGGGGGAAAGGAATTCAGGCTTGGAGGATAATACAGAAGTTATTTCAGCTGGAAGATCGAGTGCATTGCATCCATTTAAAAATCATTTAAAATGGTGAAAGAGGTGTTTTGAACTCAGTGGGAAGCTGATGACTGATTTGAATTCGCATTTGCACACCCTTTTACTATGAAAGACTCTCTGGAAAATAAAAGCCCCCAGCAAGATCTCCCAGGATGCAGTGGAGGTTAGGAATCAAAGCAAACTGGAGGTGCGACACAGCTCTTGCACCTACACTCCAGAGCCAGCAGAGGTGCAGCTGTCCTGCTGTCTGCCCTGCAGGATGCATGTCTTGCACCCAGCCCACCGCTGCTGGAGACATCACCACAGCAACCTGCACAGCCCCAGGGTGATGCCCAGAGGGAATGTGGTGGGATGCACAGCAGAGCAGGCTTTGATGCATTTACCACCTTGGTTCAGCATCCCAGAGCAGCAAGGAAGGCATTGTGCAATTTATGCCAGAGAAGGTCCTGCTCTCCTCTTGGCCATTCACTGCTGGCATCAGCCCTTATTTCTGTCTTAGTTTTCCCATCTGTGAAACCACCACGGTGATATAGACCCACTTTTTTGTGATTAGTTTGAGCTCTCTGGATACAAATTGCTAATAATGGCAAATAGTCATGAAAGTAGTTTGAAGAGACATAGATAATTCAGTTTGTTTTGTACTGTAGCTTACTCATACTGCTTATATATACATCTATATATGTTTCTGTTTCTTCTTAAGATTCATTTCATTTTTAAGTGCATGGGAGAAGAGCCCAGAGTTCAGCTATACATCACTTGTTATTGATGGTTTTTAAAAGTAAATAAGTGTATGCTATTATGATTTCATCTTCTGTGCAAGAAAGCGGTGTTCTGCGTGCGCATTACTCTGGGAGACCTGTCGTGTTTATATCCCTTACGCGATACGTCTTTGTTTTCTGAGGCACAGAGTGTCTTCTCCATTTCACAGCACACTAAGGATTAACACCCAAACTGCAAAATGCATTGTACTTCCACTGTTAATCTGTCAGACACACACACAAAAAAAAAAAAAAAAAAAAAAAAAAAAAAAAAAAAAAGGAAAAAGAACAACAAAAAAGTTTCACTCGCTTTCACTGCCTTTCCACATCAGTGACTTTTTTTTAGCATTTTGGAAGGCATTTGAATATTTCAGTTGGGCACAAAACAGGTGACAACGTGGGCCAGGAAATGGGTGATGTCCTCGTAGGCCTCCAAGCTGTAGCAGGGGTGATGCAAACTGTCTATAACCTGCTTTTCATGCTTTACAATGAAAGACAAATTCCTGGTAGCAGAAAACAGCCTTTGACTGTCAAAGCCAAACCTGAAGTCTCTGTTCTTCCCATAGAAGCTTAAATAAATGAGTTTGTGCTGCAGTTCCCATGTGCAAGATGGGTATTATGGACCCCGCCAGCCTCACCAGGGCTTTCTGTGGGGCTTGGATGTTAGGAAAAAATGGGGTATGTAAACAGATAATACAAGGAGAAAATGCAAGCTCCAGCTGTTTTTTTGTTTTTTGAAAGAAAAGAATGCCTCCAGCTTAGGAACGAGCAAAAAGTTCATAGCATTTTCTATGAGCCTGGATTCCCACACTGGGGTTTGGAGTGAATTTTACATAAAGTTTGTCTGGAAATATTCCAGCCTGCAGCGGAAAATGAAACTCTGCAAAGGTACCGACCCTCAGCGACTCAAATCCAAAGCTGGGCTGAGGTTTGCAAAGCTGCAGAGGGAAGCTGGACAGCAGAGTTCACATTAATTTTAATAAGAATCGGGCATTCAGATCCTGCAAATGATAGCAGGGGCTATCAACCTTGAAACCTGTACAAGCCCCAGCCAAGCAGTGCCACATTTCTGCAGAACTCCAACAGCTCTAAATACCTGTCAGAGCCAGCAGAGACCGAGCGCGGTGCACAGCCGGCCACACACGCACCTGCTCCCACAGCATCGCTGCAGCCATACAAGCAATATGGGAGTATTTCTTAGCCTGCACATTTAGAGGTGCTTTTCTGCCTACCAGGAAGTGTGGATTATCTACAAAGTGCGTTCATATGGCTAAGTAAGGGCTATTAACATGCAAATTCCACTTCAGCAAGTTTTTATGCTGATTGCTAGACCTCTTTTTTGCGCAGATCCTTGCAGCATATAGCTTTATGTGTAAGAATTTCTTAATGAGCAAGCTTCAGCACAGTATTTGTGGCAATGCTGAGAGGTGCTGTATTTATCAGTGGCTAAAACTCAGGTTTAGAGGCTCAGCCCATTTCTAAATTCAGGCTTTTAACTCAGACTTGTGCAAGCAGTTAAAACACTGGCTAAACTTCCGTAAAAAATCTCATGTTGCTGCAGTCTCTCAATGTGAGATTCCCTACTGAAATACAACAAAAAATGTGGGTTTTTTTGGCTGTTTTGGTTGCCCTCCATGAAGAACTGGGTGTACATCACCAACTGAAGTCTGCAGTAAAGCCGCAGCCATGGGTTCAGCAGAGCTCCATAGCCACATCCCTCAGTACCCAGGTTCAACACCAGTAATGAGGGTGATGGCTATTAGCTTGTCACTTGCGGATAAAAAGGCACAAGGAAGATGGTAGCGAGTATGCCGGTGAGTAAAATCGCTGAAGGTTTTCAAACTCATCATTGCTTAGTACCCAAGAGGCACTTGAACATTTAATGAAGTTCCTGGTCATTTCTTAAATCCACATCAGTCCAGGCTTCCTTAGGATTAACTCTCCACTTTTCTCTGATGATTTATATGAATATTAGTAAGAGAAAAACAGTGAGATACCCTCCTGGACAGTGAGGCAGCAGACACATGAGGATGAGCTGAAAGGCGAGGTCTGCCCTCAGCCCTGAGGCCTGTGAGGCTGGCCAGGAGGTGCTCCCCTCCTCAGCAGGCCTTGATGTTTCAGCTCCAGATTGTGGGGCGATCAGGGCTTTGCTGCCAGTCTTGCCCTGTGTATCTCCTGTAATTAGGACATATCCCTTGGGTATTTTATCCTCATCATTTAACTGAGTAATCTGTGTGAGGCTCGTATCCCAGTCAAGGTCTCCAAGTGATGTTTTCATTCAGGTGGGAACCCCCTGAGTCCCCAAGGCCTGCTGGAGCTCTCTGGAGTATTGCAACTGAGCGCTGCAGGCCAGGTCCCACCTGGTTTCTCACCACACTTTGCCGTGTGGGTCACAGCCTGGGTTCCCCTCACTGACAGCAGGCCTGAGCATCTCCCAGGCTTCCAGTGGGAGCAAGGAGAAGGCACCAAGCGCTGGAGGGGCTCAGTCCACAAAGTCATCCATTCCTGGTCAGAGCAATACACCCAGTGTTGTACTGGGAGCTGCAGCCAAGGAAACAACTGAACTGTGTTTTGCAAATCCCAGGCGAACACCATAACAAACAGAGCATATTCCCTTCTTGCTGGTACTTGCTCGGGACAGGTTATGTGGTACATACAGCTCCAGCAGTTCTTCTGATACAGCACTTACTGGAAAGACACTTTCCTTGCCAAAATTGCCTCTGCTTGGATGTCAGCACTCATTTGCCAAGTAGTGTTGCCTTTAGATGTTGTTCATATACTTATCAAAGTCATTTTCCCCCGAGCTTTCAATCAGATAGCCCTGTGCTGAGCAAACAGGAGGAGACACTCCTTAAGTCCTCAATTACATTTCTTTTCTCCTCTTCAATTCCAGCACAGACAAGAGGTGATAATACCGAATCTTTCAAATATTTGATATACAAAGAGAAGAGCTTGTTAAAACGAGACCAATTAATGCATTTTTAATCCATATTTAAACACATGCAAAGATCCTGAATACTAATGCTGTCATTTAAATTCCAGGCGGGGAGGGCTGGCGCACGAGGCTGCATATCTTTCAATCTCTGCTATCCTGCCTTGTTTGAATCAGGCAAGGTCGACTAGGCACTGCTGCTTATAATAAAAAGGTGTGTTTAGGCTCCCTCCGATTTTTCTAATCACCTGATGATGTTCTTGCAGCTACTGATCATGTTGTTATTATTTTTTCCCTTCTTCCTCCTTTTACTCCCGAAGTTGAAGGACGTTTTGAATCCCCCTGGGTGTGCCTGCTGCTGGGAGAAAACAACCACACAAATCGGTTCAGCTTCTAATGTTTCCCTTAATAGTACAACACGTTTGCTTCCCACTGCTCCTCATGCAAATTGATCAAAACCTTGATTTTGCATCTTTTTATCACCACTGTTGACACCGCAGAGCATTCAGGTGGGCCACGTACGTAGGCAAAGGTTATTTATTTGAGGCATCGCTTGGGTTTCTGTCAGACCTCGTGGCCCTTGCAGCCTAACTTTTGCATATATTAAATCTTTGGCCCAAAGAACTTACAGTATGCATGGGAAAAAAAAAAATGGAGATAGAGAGAGAAGAGAGAAAACAAAGTTAATGCAGTCACTAGTAATGACTGTATCATCGCGTAGGAAGTTACCACCTGCCAGCTGAACTGCAGCAGCAAATCACATGTGCTCCTGCATAGATGGCGATGCCAAATCGGATGTTAATTAAGGAGACCAAATATCTGTTTTAAAGAAATGCAGTTTGGTGTATGTGCATGGCCAGTGACTGAGGGGCAGCTGATAACTTGTCATTCCCAGAGTCTCGATCGCTTCTGTCCATGGGAATAGACCCAAAGCTTGTGAGAGGTATCATAGAAAATGGGTAACAAAAGAAGGAGAAGCAGTGACATCTGTTAAATTTGAGCCAGTCCTGTAGCCCGTATTGCCTCCTGCTGCGGTATGGTATATTAACGGCAGAAATGAGTGTACCTAGAAGCCATTTGCCAAAAAAAATTTCATCATAACATGTTGATTCATCAAAGCCAGAATATTTCAAAGTGAAGGACCAATTTCAGTAGATTTTACATTTGGAGAAAAATTGAGAAAAGTTTTTTAAATTATCAGTAGGTCACCGTGACTCCCAGAAATGGAACTATTATATTTTGCTTCAAATTTGCTTTTCACTTTGAAATGTAAGTTCAGCTACAGGACGAAAAGAAAGATTGAAATGGAAATGAAACCTTTGGAAATTACCAAACTGAGACATTTCTGTGAAACCAGACAGGGCTTTTTTTTAATTACTTTGTTAGAGTCTTCTGGTTTTTTTTTTTTGAGCCTCATTTTAGATTTTTAGCCTTTCAGGACAAAATAGGGAAGAAAAAACTCCTAAAATCTGGAAAACTCTTGAGTGCAACATTGCTAGTAAGCGCAGAAGGGGCTGTTGTCTGGAAACCCTCCAAATGGGTCTAACTGCGAGGCCACCTCTTTTAATCGGCTACCCCCTGCTTCCTTGAGATGAGTGATTATCCTGTATTTAAAGCTTTGGCCTTGAACTTGCAGTAGGGGATGGTGTCTCTCAGGTTTTTACCCTTTCCTTAATTAAGAAGCTGTATTAAATATTCAGAAATTCTGCTCTGCGACTTTCCCGGGAAGCACAAGGGCATCCTGGAGAGACAAATCACTTTCTCATTAACACCTAGCCAGGCCACTGCTTTCCTTTCCTTTTTCTCAGCTCTGGCTCTGCTCCTCCAGGACCACAAAACTGCCAGAGAGCAGCAGGGAGTCTTTCCTGAGCTGCTGGAAATGCTGCAAGGGCTTTCACTGCTGCCAGCATTGAGGGGCCAGTTTGCACCAGTTAGAAGATGGGCTCGTCAGGTACAGGAGCAAAGGATGCAGCAGCAAAGCTAATGGGGAGATTATGTTTTTTTCCAGGCACTTCCAAATGCTGCTGACTCTTTTCATGCATCCACACGGTGGTTTTATGGAGGGAGGGGCTTATGAAAAACTGAAGGAACTCAGCTCCTATGGAAATCCCAGCTTCAGCCTCATCAGCATGGCAGACACCCCACCAAAACTACCAGTCTGCTGAGACAACCACCACATCCCTTTTTTGCGTGCTGCTTGTCACCAGGATCCTAACAAGACCCTATTGATGAGCACCGCCAGCATCGCTACAGCATCTGCAAGCGGAGAGCCAGCTCGCTGCATCTGCATGGGGAGCCGACAGCGCGCTCACTGCAGCAGCCTCCGGCACCGCGCCTGGCCAGGGTGATTTATTTGCTGCCGGTGGCTGGATTAAACTGTTCTTTCCCTTTTGTTTTCCATCGTGGCCTGTCAGTTCTGCAATACCAAAGAAACAGTTTGGAATCGAGCAGGGTCCCTGACCTTCTGCATTTAATTACCAATGAGAACGGCACGGGCCATCAGTAAAGGTGCTGAAAGGCAGGTCTTTATTGGCTCTTGGCTCCTTTTTCCAAAGAAGTGTTGGGTTCTGGAGGTGATAAGTGTTAAAAGTTGCTCTCATGTGGCAAATGTTTTTTCATTAAAAAGAACAAAGAAAGAACCTTTTTTTTTTTTCCTGAAGGGAAATGAAGCAACCGTAGACCCAAATCCTTGTTCTCCTTCTAGCAGTCCCCAGGCAAGGGGCAGCCCAGGGATTACACCCCCGCAAGCTCACACCCCTGAGCTTTGTCCAGAATTTTTAGCGCTTTGGTGCCCAGGGCAGGCAGCCAGGATGGCCTGGCTTCTCCAGCCCCTTTCGTGTTCCTGCTGCAGAGCTGCATCCCCTGGGAGCCCCGTGGAGCACAGCAGCGTGTCCTTCGCAGGGCCAGGAGGACAGAGAGCAGCCAGCCCTGTGCCATTAGCAAGCCCACGCCATCTGTGCCCTGTTAGTCTTTCTTAACGAGACTAAATAAAGGGTTGCTGGTCTCTATAATGAGGTTGGCTGGAGGCAATAGCAGCTGGTGATGGAGAAGGGGAGCATCCAGGCTCTGCAGGGAGGTGTTGAGGCTGCTTCTGTGGTTTTCATTGCCTGGTAAGAAGGATGAGAGATGGGGTAGTGCTGTGTCATGAGGTGCTATGTCATTTGGCTTTGGAGAATAAATGTTCTTGCCTACGTTTGACCTTGTTTGCTTGAAGGAACCTGGGTGTTTCTTGCTTAGGAAGAGTGGTCTGCGAAGGGTTCACTGCAGCTTGCTTGAAAGCAGCAGATACATAAGAAGGTTAATGGTGCATCAAGAGAACTTCATTTTAGGTTCTTTAGATACGCAGATTTAAATGATGAATGTGACAGCAATAGGTCTGAGACAGGTGTGTATTTGGTGTGAAAGACTGATGACTGAAATGCTTCTGCAAAAATAAAATTAATAAAAGCCATTCCTGAATCCTTTTATGTTACAGGCAGGGTGCAAAGAGGCTGTATTGCCACCTGCCAGCCCAAGGTTAGGGCCTCCAGTAGAGCTACCCCACTGGTTTGGGTCACTGGTGCCTTTTACCCCAGGCTTTGAGGAGATTTCCCATCCCTCTGTGTGAGCTAGCAAGAAAAAAGGCAGGGTTGTAGCTGGCCTAATAGTGTGTTAGAGCCAAACCAAGAAAGCAGCTCTGACTCTGCAGAAAGCAAAGTTTGGGTTGTAGTGCTCCAGTTTTGTCGCAATACCCTGTGGGACACCTCTCTTAAATATAGCATGGAACCTTGTTCAATGCTAATGACAGCTTTAGGCACACAACTGGAATAGCCACAGGGAGTGGAGGCATTTGGCACAAGGCTTTTGACTGTCCTGAGAAGAAGCAGATGGGGAAACACTGCGATAAGTGACTGGTGCTCTGAAAATGTCAGCAGCTGCTCAGAGGCTTTCTCTCACTGTGTGTTTGCACAGTGCTGGGACCTGCAGGACCTCAGTCTCTGCTGGGGTTTATGGTGCTGCTACCACAACTGGGCACAGCTTCTGGAGCCACAAGTCTGGTGGAGATGAACACAGACCATGCGAGGGCAGAGTGAGCATCTGGATGGGGAAAAACACAGTGTGTGAGGTTTGGGACCAGCCTTCGGATCCGGTGGGGCTGCAAGCTGCGGTCTGCCTGCTCTTGGTGGTTTTGTTATTTTTCTTCTCCGTACCCAAGGTGTGAGGCGAAATGTCCTTTTTCCTTTGCCAAAGCTGGGGCCCAGCCCCTGTAGGCTGTAACTTCTCCTCTTACTGGGAGCTGCACACTACTTGGGGCACCTCAGTCATTATGTGCAGATCCGGCTGCTTGTGGTCTCCAATTAGCTGCAAGTCCAGAATGCCAATACCCTTTTTCTTTGCTGCCAGAGATAAAAGAAAACCCTTCTGGCCCTTCCTGCAGGAGGGCAGAGGGTCTAGGACACCCGATGTGAGTTTCATCCTCGGCAATAGAGGACAGAGGCTTGCAGCTTTGTTATCTTGCTCCTGGAGTCAAGCCTGCTACCGGGGCTGGTAGTCCCAGAGCTGCCGGTGACATCTCCTCCCCTGTCACTTCGGTTTCTTCCACCAAGAATCATATTTGGATTTGAAGCTGGGAGCTGCGCTCACAGCCCTGGTGTGCGTGTGATGTGACAGCCCTGTCCTGCTGCCGGTGGTGGCCTTGGCCACCCAGGGGGGGCTCCAGCAGCCCCCTCCCCACGCTCCCCCGAGTGAGCAGCGGAGATCCTGAACTGCTCTGCGCTGCGGTGGGAGGGAGCGGGCGTGCGCAGAGGCAGCGATAGCATCTGCTTTGTAGCAGGCAGCAAGCAGCGGGGTTATTGTTTGTTAATAGATTGCTTTTGAAAAGCTGCTCATATGGGACCAGGCGAGTTTCAGAGGTAATTAAAACTCTGCCTATGCAAAAGGCAGGATCTGATTATTTCCTTTCCAGAGCAGGCAGATTAAACCAGGAAAGTTTTTCACCACTTCTAAGAGTGCGGGGTTGCTTTGAATGGAGTTCGTCGAACAGCATATAATAAATAAAACTCTTCAGCTTTTTCTCTTACATCCAAAAAAAAAAAATATTTTTTTTACCATCTTCTTCCTTGGATTTAAACAGCAGGGCACATGTGCCCCCACGAGTACTGTTGCTCCAAAGCTCATTTCTTAGCTAATAGCTTTCACACCTGCTTCGTCTCCTCTTGGAAGACTTTTTCTGCACCAAGACTCCATCCTACCTGAAACAAAAACATCAGTGGATGGGTAAAGAGGATGAGAAATAGTAGCGAAGTCTCCTTATCTTTTTTTTTTTTTTTATGAAAATGAAATAAAATGTCTTGATTACTTTTAATGTAGTTTATAACCAGGTCAGCATCTAATCTCACAGACTGGCTGTGGGGTTGTGCTGGTGCACCTGGGATTCAGTCTCTGAACCATTCTTGGCTTTAGGCTCTGCCTGCTCCACATATTTCAAAGAGGTGACCTTTGTGGAGCCCCAAGGAAGAAGAAATTTGGGTAGAGATTCATAAATCCACCAAAGAGAAGGGGGGGAAAAAAGATGACTATATGATCTGAGCTGCGTTGGCGTTGTTCTCACAGCTTCTACATCTGAAGCCTGGCTGAAACCCTGAAGGATTTACCTTGGCTGGGGGTGGTGGAACCAGCCAGAGGGGTGAGTGCTGGCTTGTGGCTGGAAGATGTGTCCAATGTGCCTGTGGAACAGCAACAAGGCACAGAGGAGATTTGCTTGTGCCTGGGAGAGATTCCCCTGTGTCCCTGAGATGGAGACAAATGTATGCAGACCAACCAAATTCCTGCCCTGAGAGGGGAAGCCCATGAACATTTGAGAGGAGTCAGGCCTCCTAACACCATGCTTCAGAGCTTTTTGGGTGACAAAAGCCTTTGGCAAGGTCTGCATGGGTAAACTGTGCACTGTAGGACAAAGGCAGGGTGAGTCCTGCCCAGCAGCTGCTGGATCTTGCAGCCTGTCTGTGGGAATAGTGAAAGTCCTGGGATGTGCTGGGCTCCAGGGGACAGCTGTGGGGAACTGGGCAGGCTGAAAGACCCGGTGGAACGTGGTCAGTGGGAGAGGAAAATAAACCCTTAAGGAAGGGGGGATAAAATAAAATCAGTCGCTTAAGCTGTTTTTCCTGGCCACATTCTGCAGCTCAGAGAGCAGGAGGGTTTGCCTGCAAATCCTACATGAGTTTGCCAGCTGAAGCTGTGCCCGAGCAGCCCAGCTGACTGCGGTGGACATGCAGGGCTGGAGTGGAAGTCTGGGTGCAGCCCACCACCTCCTGGAGGCTGAATCCTGCCAGCAGTGGTGGATTTCTAGCTGAAAATCAATGAGGAAAGAGAGGCTGGTTTGGGCAGGGACACAGCAGCAGCATCGAGACTTCTGTGCCTACTTCCATGCCAAGGTCACTCTGTGCAGCTGAGATGGTTGGCTCTCACCTACTCCTGGGTGTATGGCAGCAGTCTATGGGTCAAATGAGTTCCTGAGCTCTCAATCCTATTCCTAGTGAAAACATCTCAGTCTCAAGGCTGGGGGCAGCTTTGTGAGCAGTGCTGGCAGAAGAGGACTGAAGTATGGATTGAGCATAATGGGATCCCAAACCTTTCCACCCCTTCACCTGTGTGCACCCTCCAAGTCGCATGCTGCAGATTACAAATCCTGAATTAGGAGCCCTCTGTGAAAATCCTGCCCACTGGTCAGGTGAGGCTGTGCTCCTCTGTGCCAATCTCCTCCAGGGCTGGGTGTTTTACTGGAAGAGGTGACTTGATGCAGAAATTACGGGGTGAAATGGCATGGCCCTTGTTTCAGAATAGGTTGAGCTAGCTGATCGTAACAGTCCTTTCTGGCTGCAAAATCTGTCTAGCATGTGTAATATACTTGCATATTTTATGAGATCATGGGTCTCTGTGTGTGTACTTAAACTGAGCACACGTATGCATGCATACACATTTTATTGCTGATAGGAAATGAAACCTCAGATTAAAAGACATTAACAAAGATAAAAAGTAACAGAATCTAATTTCAATTGTCTGTGGCAGGAACCCAATTTTCAAATGATAATTACAATAATTAAAAATTCCCTTATCAACTGAGACAAAAATGCTGCACATTGGCAGGCAGAGACGATGAATAAGGCAAGCACAGACTCCTCAATGCTAAAATCAATTTTCAGAAGTTCATACAAGCCCCAGAACAATTCCAGTTTTGTTGTGCTTTTTCCTCCTGGGGGAGAAAGAGACTTTTCTCGTGCATGTACACACAAACTACCACCACCTTTTTTTATTTTTTTTGTCTCCTTTATCCACAAGGTCACGTTAGCTGGAACAAATATGAAAATCTCATGTAAATGCAACTGTTTTTCTGTAGAAGTGGAGTAGGGGAAAAGCTCAAATCTGTCAGACCTTCCCAGTTTGGGCTTTACTTCTAACTACGGATTATCTTGTTTAGAATTAAGAAATGTATGTGCTCTGCTTTTGGGGAGTTTGTCAAGGAAGGTTCTCAAAGCTTTTTGTGCAGAGCACTGCTGCACTTACTTCCTGATGCTTTCTTCTGTCACTGTCCCCACTGTACAAGTGAACATGAGATTGAAGTCTAAGTAAAATAACAAAAAATCCAAGTACACATCTGGAGAAAGTTTTTTTTTTTTTTTTCCCAGAGAAGTCTCAGGTTTCTGTACATGCACTTTGCAAAGGTAATAGACTGCAAAATTAGGGTTTCCAGGTGTTTTTTAAACAGAACAGAAATATATTGCATACTTTTTCATTTTTTTAAACTGGATTGTGATGTGCACAAACTAACAAGCAACCAGACCCAACTGATCAAGCTCAGTGACACCCTTGGAAGGAGAGGTGGGACTTCAAAGAGATCCTGGTCTTCTGCTTTTGCATTTGAAAGGGGGCAGAAGAGGGAAGAATTGTCTGTGGCAGAGCTTTGCTCTTTGCAGGTTGCTCAGTCCAGGTCTTCAGGGAAGTTCTCACTTCAGCCTAATGGAGTTAGTCATCCCCTTGCCACAAACACTGGATCCAACATGATGTATTTATGAGCAGATGACAATTCTCAGTGCATGGCAAATGCATTAGCGCTCTTTAAGCTGTTGTAATT